TTTTGCCATTTTTTGTTTTGATTTATGGTTTCGCATTAGAAAATCCCAGCTGGACCTCAAGTCCGCTCCCTATCAATGCCAAAAGCTCTGGTGTGAAATCGTAATACCACGGGTTGGGTCTTTAGAGCGTTTGTCCAGGTAACGCTGGTTGATTGGCACAGAAACTGTAAAGTTGCGTTCATTGCGTTGGTGCGCGTCCACATTGACTGGAACGCACGAAAAGCTCATGAATAACCACCGGCTACGTTCGCTTGCTGGCCGGACTCGACTCTGGATCCTCGACAATGAGAGGGAAGGTTGCTGTGCTTGGATGGGCGAGGTTGTGGCATCCTCGACTTTGAGACTTGTGTTTGGTACGTGTGTTGTCCCCGCACACGCAAGGGCACGTGTTTACTATACATTCGACTTGCATCTACTTTGAGATATTTCGAATCAATCAGGAGCGGGCTTATTGGCAGGAAGCGGGGCGACGGAAAGTACGCCAACAATTCTTGTCGCCAAAGTGACTTTCAGAATTATTGACTTGTCTCGCGCCAAGGCATCCTTGCGCTGCTCCCGAACGAGTAGAAAAGGGTGTGTTGCCCGTTGGCGTTGGCACTCGTTGTCCAGGGTGGCGGTCACGCCAACGAGCTGTGATGTATTGGAGTTGTCTCATTTCAAGTGACATCAACCGAATTACCACTGTGGATCTACTGAAACTGTGTAATGCACTTTAACAACCTAGATTCTTCATGCTATAATCCAATACTGTCATCACGAATACACACCAATTCACACTTGTCTTCAAAGCTCCAACGCAGCAAGGAGGCGACCAAAAGAGGGACGTTCATCGGCTGCTTCATCCAGACACTCGAGCGCAAGAGTGACGAACTCGCTGATGCTCTGCTGCTCTGCTTCGTCGGCTAGTTGGAGGGTCGAGTCCAGCATCGCCATGAATTTCTGGTTTTTAACCGCCTTCCGCGTATCAGTTTTCAGCTTGGTGCCAGGCTTGACGGCATCTGAAAATAGATTTATTGTCAGCAGATGAAAGAGCAAGAACACCAAACGCGAACCATTTATCCAACCACACAGCCTACGAGCGAATACAGCCTACAAGCGAATACAGCCAAATACTGATTGAGGCACACACACGCACAATTGACAGTCACCCCACGCTGCAGTCACTCGTCAACCTGTATTCTGCGAGAGGGAGGACATCCGCAGTTAGAGCACAATTAAGTGGTTAACCGGGCTTTGCTTGAACTGGAATCGTGTCAATGATTGGCCGCTTCTGTCAGGTTTACGAGCGTGTAGCGTTGGATGTCGAGCTCCACTCGATGACAACTCGCATTTCGTTGAATAGCTACAAGACTCTTGACATGTTCTTGCAATTCTTACGAGTCTCCGTTTGTTTGTGATGCCGATCTGCCACGGAAACCGCGTTCATTTTCCGAACCGCGTTGGTCCAGACAATCAAGCGCAATCGAAGCGGGAAGCTGCTCAGACTGTGATTTTGCTGTCACTGTTACATGCAGGGCCATGCTAAACACCTCGTTACTCGCTGCTGGCTTTGCGAACGGACTGGAGCTCATGCCTGACGATTGGAGCAGTTCTCAATCCTGAGATGTCCTCCCGTCCACATGCTTCCCTCCCCATTTACGAAGATCAGCAAAGGTCCATGGTCAAACGGCGGACCAATGGTGAATGCAAACACCTCGAAGCAGCATCCGAAAACAAAAAGGCGGGAGAACAACTCTCAGACAACAACAGCGACATGTGGGATGATGAAGAATGTTGCATTAGGTTGCATTGGACGGTCAACGATGGATGGATGAATGGAAAGAGTTGAGGAAGGAAATGGGGGCAGAATCAAGGCGGGAGAACATGGTCACTTCGTATCGACCTATTTTCCTCCCTCTCGGGTAACACCGGGAGTTCGCATCGAGGGTGTTGAACACGACCGATAGCCCGTGTAGTTGTTCAAGCAATGCTGAAAAAGACTCGTTGATTCTCGTTGATTCCTTCAATGCGGATGAACGAGATTTGAGGGCGAAAGCAGATCAACGCCAATTTGCCAAATGGCATGCAACAAGTCGTGCTGGAACTTCGCGCGGTTTTTGAGCTCCATGGACTGCGTGAACTGGAAGGTTCATGGACTGCGTGAATGTTGGTCGTCATTCTACTGGTATCCGATGAGAGCTTGCGTCAAAGTAGAACCAGTTTTTTTTTTCCCTTTGGCATGTCGACGACCGATCCGGCAAAGCGCCCCCTTGGTTCCAGCGACGAAGGGTCATCGGAGGAAAATCCAAACAAGCGCGCTCGGTTGGAGGATCCAGCAGCAGCAGTAGCAGCAGCAGCAGCAACAGCGGCAGTGCCGGTCTTCGTTGCTCCCTGCACGACCACCTCGTTGCAAGCCGCATCGACCGCCGCTGCTCCACTCACTCTAACAACCTCACCAGCAACAGCAATGATGACAACGACTGAGTTGGCAGCTTCAGCACCGCCCAATAGTCATACCACAAGCTCTACCGAGACTGCTCCGGCAGTGGTAAAGCGTTTTTGTTGTTTGTTTGTTTGTTTGTTTGTTTGTGTTCGGTTTTTTTTTGTTTGTGTATTGCTCTCCCCCGCACTTGGTTGCTCTGGCCGGAGCTTCCACGGGCGGTCTTGGGCACGCACCTACTGTCTCCATAGACACTGTGGACGGTCAGCAGGCCGCATGTCAGGGGTTCTGGGTTGGCTTGGTTGTCATGTCTCGGCTCTTTCTACCGCCTTCCACCCACCGCACACATGCGCACAGGAACAGCAACGCACGAGTCGAAAAGGCTAATGGGATTCAAAATGTTTTGATTGTAGACCAATGACGCGGTACAACCTCAAGCTGGACCATCCACGAACCCTCAAGCATCATTGTCCACGCCAAATCTTGACGCTAT